ATATATATATATATAGATATATAGATATATATATATACATATATATATATATATATATATATATATATATATAGATATATATATATAGATATATATATATATATATATATATAGATATATATATATATATATATATATATATATATATATATATATATATATATATATATATATATATATATATATATATATATATATATATATATATATATATATATATATATATATATATATATATATATATATATATATATATATATATATATATATATATAGGGGGGGAACCCATTTGGCGGGTGGCTGCTCCAAAGATGGCCTCTCTGCGAGCCACAAGCCAAGGCATGGTTAGGGGAGGGGAAAGTAGGTAATAATTCTTCACTCTGTCCTTCGGGGCAGATTGGTTCAAACGCAGGACGATGAACGAATTGGATGAGTATCTCTATGATCTTAACAGTCCATCTAGGTCTGACTGCTACTTTACCCACCTTTTTCTCTATCATGTTTCCCCTCTTTCTTCTTGCAGCGGCAAGGCTTTGCCGTCTCGCAGCGGCTTAACTACTCAGCAAGCGTGGCCTTGAGCATCCACGACATCTTGTCATGGTGCTTGATCCGCTCGATGAGCATGTCTTCAGTAGCGACGTCGTCAGCGGCGGCAGCGGCCTCGCGCGCAGTCTTCATGTGCGCAATCAGAGCCTGATGTGTGTCGTACAGGTCGCGGACGAGGGCGTTGCCGTCAGCGGTCACCTCGACGGCGGTCGTCTCGATGGTGGCGAGCTCGGTAAACTCGGCAAAGGTGCCCGGCGCCGGGACACCCAGAGCGCGCAGTCGCTCGGCCAGATCGTCGACGGCCACTGCGAGCTCGCGGTACTGCCCCTCGAACATGAGATGGAGCGAGTGGAAGTTCGGGCCAACCACATTCCAGTGGTAGTTTTGTGTCTTGACGTAGATCGTGTACGTGTTGGCGAGGCAGGCCTTGAGGCCCTCGATGACGGTGGTATCGGACATGATGTGATGTGCGGTTGTGTGTACGTGTGTGTGTGTGTAATGAACAAAACGAAAGGTGGTGGTTCTCCTTTTCCCGCTGGTTTTTACGCTAGCCACAAATTGCCCGGCGAGGCTCACGTCAGCGTCGTCATGATGACTGGTCCGCATACCGCCGCCCATCATGATTGATGGCAATGGAGGTTGGATCAACATCTGATGGGAGGGGCGCAGTGCATAGCATGCTCGCTGAGGAGATTCTTGGGAGTATGTGCTTGCCTGTACCATAAATAGCCATGCCCCTAACCCTTAGCCATGCCCCTGACCCTTAGCCATGACAAGGCGCGATATGCTGCATGCCCCTCGCCACGCCACCCAGACCGGGCGGGTGTTTGGCGTCATCGGCTGGCCGCTAGCCCAAACTGACCCGATCTGATGTCGTCCGCATCGACGAACAAGTCCACGACCTGAACACACGATGTCGATCATGTTGTGGAGCACCATCGGTGCGGGCATGGTGCCCCCAGTCGAAGTGATATGCGGTGGTGACGGCCCTGTCCAGACGTGGCTAGCGGGCATGGCAGTGACGTTAGTCGTGGCTGCCGCACCAGCGGCTCAACGGCGGTCAGAGCAACGAGTTGACTCGGCAGGAGACTTGGAGTATGTGGCAGCGAGGCGCAAGTAGGGGTGGTGGTCTGGACCTAGTGGCGCTGGTGGTGGTGGTGGTAGCCTTGGTGGTCTGCGGCGGGCGAGGGAGCGAGGCGGCGACCATGGCCTACTTTCCAGTCACCAACGTGACGGCCGAGCTGAACGCGCTGGCAGCGGCGTACCCGCAGCTGGTCCATGCACACCCGGTCGGCTTGTCGACACATGGCAAGGACATTACGGCGGTGGCGATCTCGGCCATCTCGCCGTCGACGCCGCCTTTGCTGCAGGCAGTGCCGATTGTGAGGATTGTGGCGGGCATGCGCGGCGACACGGCGGCGGTCGAGGCAGCGCTGGCGCTGGCGTTTGCCAGGTACCTGGCCGAGGCGTACTCCGCTGACGATAACCAGGTCACGATGCTCCTCGATGCCGCAGTGGTGGTGGTTGTCCCGGTGGCCAATCCTGACGGAGCTGCGCTCGGTGTGGCCGACAACGGCGACGGCGTGCTCCTCGAGCGCAACTTTCCGATCCGCAACGTGCCGGGCGCAGACACGCCAGCGGGCCGCGCACTCGAGACGCAGGCGATCATGGCCTGGGCCCGCAGCATGTACGCGACGCTCTCAATCAATCTCCGGGCCGGGGCCGGTGTCGAGGTAGTCGCCTATCCGTGGCACTCGTCGATCGACGGCTCGGTCCGGGCCGCGCCGGCGGTGGGCGAGGGCATTCTGACCTCGCTGGCGCTTTCTTATGCTTCGCGAGTTCCTGGCGAACGGTCCGATCTCTTCCCCACAGGCATTGTCAATGCGGCGGCGGTGGCATCGCTTGCAGGCTCGGGCTCGATGGAGGACTGGGCGCTCCAGTTTCTGGGCGAGCCTCCGCTGTCGGTTCACTTTGCGCCCGATGTTGCGCCCAGTGCCGCGACGCTCGCCACGCTGTGGGGCAACAACGCGCCGGCGCTTCTCATGACGGCGCGGCGGGTACTGACCGCTGCGCGTGGCCGGGTGGCGGCTCCCGACGACACGTTTGTAGCCGATGCGGTGTGTGAGGTGGTGACACTTGGGTCGGGCCTCCACGTCCGGGTCAACCACAACACCGGGCGGTGGTGGATCCCGCTCCCAGCCGGCCGGCACGACATCACGTGCAGTGCACCCGGACGGGTCTCGATCACCCACACCCATGTGGTCGACGACACCGACTCGGGCGGGCCGGTGACGGAGGCCGAGCTTGTCGAGTACCGGTTGCCGAGCTCTGCTGAGGCGCCGGCGCCGGTCCCGACATACGGCGCGCCGGGCTCGCGAGTCCAGCTCAACGCCATTCTCGTGATTCTGCTCGCTGTGCAAATTGTGGTGGCGTGCGCCGGGGTGGTGTTCTGGGCGGTGATGCGGAAAGTTCATTGAAAGGTCTCGCTTAGGCTAAGCATCGACAGGCGTGGGCGCGGCGGCTTCGTCCTTGACGGTGGCGTAGCCGGCCGGGTTGGACGTCCACCACCGCCAGGAGTCTGCACACATGTCGGCGATGGTCTTTTCGGCCCGCCAGCCGAGGCCGGTGGCGGCGGCAGCTGGATCGGCATATGCGGCCTCGACATCGCCCGGGCGGCGGTCGGCAAGCTCATAGGCGATTTCCTTGCCAGTGGCGGCCTTCATGGCGTTAATGACGTCGAGGACGGAGACCGGAGTGCCGGTGCCGAGGTTGAACGCCTTGGCGCGCGGCTCGTCAGCTGGGCGCGAGTCGAGCTCACGGAGAGCGGCGAGGTGGCCGTCGATGAGATCGGAAATGTGGATGTAGTCACGGACAGCGGTGCCGTCGTGGGTGTTGTAGTCGGAGCCAAAGACCATGACCTTGTCGCGGGTGCCGAGCGCGACCTGCGAGACGATAGGAACCAGGTTCATGGGAGCGCCCTGAGGGTCCTCCCCCAGCTCGCCGGACTCGTGCGCGCCGCACGGGTTAAAGTAGCGCAGCGACGTGACGCGCCACTCGTCGTGGGCGGCGGCGACGTCGCGCAGCATCTCCTCGACCATGTACTTGGTCCGGCCGTAGGGAGACTGCGGGCCAAGACTGCAGGCCTCAGTGATAGGCAGCTCGTCCTGCTGGCCGTAGACGGTGCAGGAGGAGGAGAAGACAATCTTGGAGACGCCGGCATCAACCATGGCCTCAATGAGGTTGACCGAGCCAACCATGTTGTTGGTGTAGTACAGCATGGGGTTGGCCATCGACTCGCCGACAGCCTTGTGGCCAGCAAAATGAATAACGGCAGCAATGTCATCCCCAATGGCCTCGGCGGCGGCGAATACACAGGCCAGGCCGCTCGGGTCGCGCATGTCGACGGTGTGGACGTGCAAACGCTTGCTAGACTCGGGCGCGAGCTTGAGGATGCGATCAAAAACGCGTCTGTCTGCGTTGTACATGTTGTCAAGGGTGTAGACGGTGTAGCCCTCCTGCAGCAGCCGCAGCACCATGTGCGAGCCAATGAACCCGGCACCACCGGTAACCAGCACCGCATTCGTCTTGCTCATGATCAAGTATGTGTTCTCTTGCAGCCGTTGTGTGACAAGTGTTTGTTCCACAGCATCTTGACCGCCCAAGGAACATCCCTGTACTTGCCGACGTTCTCCACGTTGAGCCGCATGTTGCCCAGCAAACAATTTTCCGTTCTTCTCCCCTCACGCCTTGCTTGGCTCAGCCCACCACTGCTACCCAGCCGACCCCATCACACCGCCAAACAAGACGGCACCTCCTGATCACACGGCTATACGCCGTCAACTCTACCACCTGCTGCGCCAGCCCCACCCCGTGCTGCGCCCAACCTGCGATTACCCCCCCCCTCCCCCCCCCCCCTTAAATGCAATCTTATACTGTGTAAGTCCTCTGATCTCTCACTGAGACAAAATAGGCCGTTAGTGTCGACGCGCTACTCCCGAGGGAAAGAGAAGACACGAGCGCGAAGAGGGAGAAAACCGTTCAGGAGAACGTAGTTAGGGCGTGGGAGGCGCAAAGTGAAAGTCTGCATTAGAGCCACACTACCATTTGTGAAGCCCTGGTCACCCAT